ATAAGACAGCGCCGCAGCCGACCACAGCCGACAACAGCCGACAACGCCACCACCAGACCCTCTAACGGAGCGAGATTTATTGCAATTTGCAATAAGACAGCGCCGCAGCCGACCACAGCTGACAACAGCCGACAACAGCCGACAACGCAACAACCAGACCCTCTACCGGAGCGAATTCTATTGCAATTTACAATAAGACAGCGCCGCAGCCGACCACAGCCGACAACAGCGGACAACAGCCGACAACGCCACCACCAGACCCTCTAACGGAGCGAGATCTATTGCAATTTACAATAAGACAGCGCCGCAGCCGACCACAGCGGACAACAGCCGACAACAGCCGACAACGCAACCACCAGACCCTCTAACGGAGCGAGATCGATTGTAGTCTCGGTGTGTGTGCTCTCTGTGTGTGTGGTCTCTGTGTGTGTTGTCTCGGTGTGTGTTGTCTCTGTGTGTGTTGTCTCGGTGTGTGTGATCTCTGTGTGTGTGTGGTCTCGGTGTGTGTTGTCTCGGTGTGTGTGTTGCCTCGGTGTGTGTTGTCTCTGTGTGTGTTGTCTGTGTGCGTGGTCTCGGTGTGTGTGATCTCTGTGTGTGTGTGGTCTCGGTGTGTGTTGTCTCGGTGTGTGTGTGTGTGTTGTCTCGGTGTGTGCTGTCTCTGTGTGTTTTGTCTCGGAAAGAGAAGCGGGAGGAGCGGGAGAAGCGAAGCGGGAGAAGCGGGATGAGACATAGAAAAGAAGAACCCCACACTAAGATGTGGGGAAAAAAGATGGAAAAGAAAACCAAAGAGGTCTAAAGAATGAACGAAAACCATCCCATGTGTGTGTGACTTTTCCCTTTTTTCGAGGCCTCCACATGCGGCCTCCGGCAGCTCTTGGCCATCCACCGCCGAGCGGCATGTCACCGGACCTGTGAGATCCACGAAACGGCCGCAAAGTGATTCTGAAATAAATCTTGGGTACCTTGGATACATCTGAGATAGGGCTCTTTTTCAGGCGTTCTTCAAACGGCCGAGGCACGATGCTGGAAGCCGACGGCATTCTTCCGTTCCGGCCCGGGACGGCGATTC